ATGACTGTAGCTCCAACAAGAGTGCCTGCCACAGGAAAAGCTCTGCAGGGGCTGTCCACACCTTTGGCTGGCTTTAGGAAAAGGGATGTGAAACCAGAAGATTTTAGGCATTGCTTTAGTTCCACTGCATGGCTGGGAGCAGGGGAACACTCTGGGTCATGCTCTCTCCAGCAGGAGTCCTGCCTCCTCCCTCCCCTGGCACAGCTGACAGAGAAGGTGATGAGTATGGAGCAAGGGACACGTGTGGACCAAGTCCTGCTTGTCCTCTGACCTGGTGCCCGGGGCTGGGTGGTGGTGGTCCTGTGGCCCCTGCCAGTGCTGCTTCAGGTGAGGGATTTGTAATTTTGGCATTACTTGTCCAAGGTGCCAAACTCTGTGAAGGAGCTGGAGGCAGTTTTGGGCAAGGGCTGACCCAACCCCTTCTCCTGTGTGGGCACAGCAAGCACCCAGGGCCCTGTAGTTGTAGAGCCGATTCCTTTCATAACCCAACAGTCGGTACTGGTGTGACAGCTGTGAAACTGCTGCCAAACTATTGCCAAACTGCTGCAGCTGGGAGGCTGGAGAGGCCATGGCCACGTCCAGCACAAGAACTGAACAAGGTGGCAGGAAGTTCCATGTCTGCAATGGCTTTAACCTTGCAAACTTCTTTTTTTTTTTTTTCCCTTTGAGCTGTCGCATACTATTGCTGCTGGCCCAGGGACAGGTAGGTTAGACTTGTACACTCTTCCCCAAAAATTGTTCCCCTATTTCCTGCTGACCTAAGGCACAAGCTCCTAACCCAGAACCTGAGATAGCCCCAAGTTCAGCATCTGTGGCACTAAACACTGGGGCAGGGAGGTCTTCTCTTCTGAAAGCTAATTTCACAGATGCTTCAGCCCTGACACTCTGTGACTTCAGCTGCAAACTCTAACTTTGACAAGTCCCTTTTAGTGTCATGTAACCTACTAAGGACTAACTTACCATGTTGATGTCGAGGTTGCATGTTGCTTTTATGCGTATTTAACCACAGAAATTGTTTTGCACACTTATTTGTAATATGTTATTTCTTTTAAATAAAAGTGACTAACTTTGCTGTATTCACTGATGGTCACAGCCATGGTTTCCATTGCTCCAGGCTGGGGGAATAAACATGTGAGTCAATAGTGGTGGCTGGTGAAGGACAGGAGCTGAATCTGCTGCATGAGGAGGGGACAGGAGCAGTGAGCCACTGCCTGGGACACGCACCTTGTTGTCTGTCCCAAAACAAGTCCAACTTCCCAGTGCAAACCAGTTCTTGTTCAGCACTTACCATTCTCCCTCCTGGGCTGGACCAGCAGGAGGCCTGGAAGTGTCATCTCCTGGAGAAGGATGTGATGGGGCAGCGCTGCTCTGCTCCCCAGGGTGATGGAAATCCCCTCTGGCTGTGCAAGTGGAGCTGCTCCTGCTCCAGCACCAGGAAACTGCTGCACTCCCCACCCAGCCCCTGCCTCTGCTCCAGCAGCTCTGCTGGGCTTCAGCTGCTGCTGCACCAACCCCCTGCCCTCCTGTTCCTGTTACCCTAGGGCTAGCAAGAGACTACAAACATTTCTGGGGAATGTTTAAACTCTTTAAATGTGTAAAGTTTTCCCTAAACCTCTGCTCCAATGTGGCAGCATGAATGAAAATAACACACCTGTGCAGGCAGCCTGCAGTGCTGCAGTAACCCTGGAATGCTCTAATACACCTCAGACTTCTTGTGCTACCTGCAAATGGATGTGAGTAGGTACAGCTGTTTCACAGGAATCAAATCCAGCACAGGACTGAGTCTTCCCAGCTGGTGCTGCCTCCAGGTTGCTCTGGCAGTGCTGCAGCACTGCTGTGGATGAATTACCCAGCGTTTGCACAGCTCTACAATCAAATGAACAGCCTCAGTCACTCGCTGGGAAATGGAATGGTGCTCTGAGGGCCGTGGGCCCTGCACCTGGCTCTGATGGACTGCTGCTGCCACATGGCCACAGGGTCACCCCCAGCCCCCAGGAAAGCAGAGAGCTCCCACAGCAAGTGGGACAAAACCTACTGGCACCAGCATCTGCTCTTAAAAGTACAGGGGTGAGCAGTTCCTTGTGTATTAAAAAGTAACTCAACGCCTTCTCTCCCCATTTTGCCACCTCTCTCCACAGTACCTGTGTCACAGTTCAGAATCCTGACAGGAAAACGAATGAGTCAGTGCACTAAATTCCACAGTAATTCAGGTGTCTGCCAGCAGAAACTGGAATACAAGGATTGCTTTCAGAACCTTTAGGTACAATAAAGGAGAAAACACAAGATTAATCAGTGCAGTTGGAGATGTGAGACACGACCAGTTCTTACAGACCCAGGGCAGAAGGGCCGTGTTGGACACAGCAGCCTCAATGCCACAGCTGGGGCTGGGTCACACTGCTCTGCCTGCCCCGGGGCACAGCAACAATTGCACCACTTCACTGCTCCCGTGGTAAGCTAATTTCTTCTTCTTCCCCAAGGGTTGTGTTTGTTCAGACCATTCAGTGTTTTCTCTTCAAGGAACAGGCTCTGCCCATTCAGCTCCAAACACCAAAGCCCTGCCCAGCAGTTCCACAGCCATCCAAGGCTTGTGGAGTTGGGTTTCTCCCCAGCTCTTAAAAGCACTGCCATGAAAACCTGACCCAGCTTCCAGCAAAGTTCTCCTGGTCCTTGAAAGCATTTCCCCAGCTGCTGAGAGACAGAGACTGCAACCAGTGCAGGAAAAGGGGATCAGACACCAAACCCACATTCATGACAGTGACTCCAGAAAGTGACATCCAAAACTTACCTACAGAAATAAAGATCCATGTGAGGCAGACACGTTCCTGTGCCCCAAACAGTGCAAAGCCCTGGCAGGGTCCAGCCCCAGGCCCCTCCATGCCCGTGGCACCTGGGACACGCCTGGAAGGGGCACCTTGGCCTGGTGGGGCTGCCACAGAAGCTGCATTAACCCAAATATACATCAATATTCCAAACACACTTGTTGAGTAATTTCAACTTAGTTAATTTGCTGAATAAAATTTAATTTTATTTAAAAAAATCTTATACACTATTATTCACCTAGCCCTAGTGTGAACAGATTCTCACTTCTGAAAATAAACCACATTCTAGTCAATTCATTCAACACCAAATTAAATTACTAGTACTGGATTTTTTTTTCTTAAAAAAAGTATGTTAAAACTTTACTTTTTTTTATTTTTAAAACCTCTAAAGAAAACGTTGCAATTGTACAGAAATGCTTCTTTTCAGGTTATGCTTTTTCTTTAAATGCCTGTTATAAATCCAGCTTGTGTAGAGTTGTTTTTTTTTTCATAGTTTTTTAATGTATTATCTGCAGAGACATTGTAACAGTTCCATTGTGTGGATGAACACAAAACTTGTACACATTTCTCATATTTGGTCTTTAGGTAAATAGTTTCCAAAAGCTGCCTAAAATAACCACTCCAAACTGTTCAGTCCATCATGAAAATACAGTTTTTCCTTTCATAGCAGGAAAGGAAATATAAATAATGCATCTTTATTACAGAACAGGACAAAAACCAGATTCCGATGGAGCCAGCTCCGGCTCCCACTCACCTGGCTGCAGGAGGAACTAAGACGTTGTGTGAGTTGAAGACTGAACAGCAGCCTTGTTTCAATTGAATTTTGAAATGTAAAGTGGAATCTATTACCACATTAAAGTGAGAAATTACCGATACATTTTAAAATGTTCAACTGCAGAACACACACTTAAAAAAAAAAAAAAAAATTATTACCATAATCTGGTAGCCACTGTTAGAAAACCACAACAGCTACTGGTCATGGAGACCCCGAGGTCAGTGTCTGACATCAAAGTGTTACAGAGAAACGGGGCAGATTAATTTCTACTGAAGGGTGCTTAAGCTTAAAAATATCGAATATACCTCTGACAAGATAATTTTACTCTTTTTAAAAGGACTCGTGATAAAGAATTTTATCTTTCTAAATGAAGAACAGTCTGTTATCTTAAACATACACAATATTAAGCGAGACTCTTGTTTTACTTTAGACTGGAAAAATATGCCAGGGACAGTCAAAGTCAACACAAAGTAACAAACAGCAAAAGGTAGCAGAGAGAGAAACAGGTAAGTGCAGCTCTGGTCAAATCCATAGCAGTTCTTTACGTCAGTTAACGGCTCATTTACATCAGAGTTTCTAATCAGTTACATGCAAGCCCAAAGAAGCGTTTGATCACTACACATGGTAATAAAATTTGATTAAATTTATCAGGCAACTGCTAAAATATGAAAATTTGCAGATGTAATAAAGTAGCTTTATCTGAACTTGAACAGGACAGACAAAAGTAAATCATTCCGTTGGTTAAAAAAACCCTACATTCAGTTTTTTACCAAACAAAATTTCACATGAAAAGTAGTTGTGTGATTCCAAAGTTTCCGGAGTAGAAATGGAGTGATTTGAAATGTCAAAGACCCCATTGTTTTGCAAAGAAATGAAAATACACCTCAAAAATTTCTAATTCCACATGTGAACAACAAAATACTGCATATCTATCAACAACTGCATGGGTGGGTGGTTCGGAAAGGCTTAGCTGCCACGGTGTCGGAATGGCTCCTGCCTCTGTTCCCTTTAGGAATTTACAATCGGTTGAACCAGTCACACTAAGCGCTATCATGCTGCCGTTACACTGAGATCCTCAGTCCTGGGAAAAATCTGACAGATCCTGTTAAAGCTGCAGCCCTCCCAGCACACACAGTCCGTGGGGCAGGAGGGGCGGGGACACAGCCTCTACAACAACATGGTTCTGCAGTTTTGACTTTAAATTACCAAGTTTTAAGGCCACCTGTGTTGGGTTTTGTTTCAGTGCTGAAAGTTGAAGTCTGATTCACAGGGCCCCTTTCCCCACTGCGTGAGAACATGTTCCAACATTTTAGGTGTTAGATTTAAGTGTCTCCTTTTGGCACCACGGAGTTTGTTTTTGTTGGTTTTTTTGTGTTGGTTTTTTTTTTCTTTTTGT